AATAAACCAGGAGTGATCTCCCTTAAACTTTCTCGAATATTCTTATATAAAATAACAGGGGATGGGAACTCGGGCTAAAGACATGATTTTTAATCCATTTTAAATACTTAAAGTTTTAAAAATAGAATAAAATCTCGTAGACAAATTAATTGCACACCAAGTGAACGCGAAATAAAAAAGCGCATAATAGTGCGCAATATTATTATTACTTTTAAAATTTACATTAGTTTTTTGAGAAATCGGAAGTAGCGTAAAGTACTACTTCCAGTCAACGGAAATGACTCAAAATTTAATAGAAGGTAGAGAATTAGATCTTTTACTTACGTATGAAATTTCATTTATCTATCTGAAATAGTACTCAAGTTATAGGCTTTTGAAAAATTCAAAGTAGGAAAAGTACCACTTCCGGTTATCGGAAATCGCTCAAAAGTTGATACGGATCTACGATTTTGATTAAATACTTATATATGAAATTTCATCAACCTAGCTGTAACGGTACTCAAGTTATCGTGTTTACACACGGACACACACACACACACACACACAGACACACAGACATACGGACAAGATTGCAAAATTATGTTTTTCCGTATCAGTGAGATGCAAAACGTCGAGATTTGCAAAAATCTCGATTTTTTTTTTTTGCACGATTACAATACTTTCTCTATACTTCGTATATACGAGAAAGTAAAAATCAATGTGCACCTAATGAAGGTGATGACGCGTGTATAATAGTGCGCAATGGTTGGGTAAGACTGCCTACTAATTTTGTTAAATTTTTAATTAATTCGTAAACAATTAATTAGGCAACCAATTAAGTCAAATGTAATGTCATGTTGCATTGTCTTCATATCTTGACCGAATTGCCAACTTTGAACCGCATTTGCCAGTTAGAAGTGCCCAAAATTTCGCTCGGGCGATTCGATCTGAACAGACAGACGACAGAGGAAGCAACTTAAATAAAAGCTTGTAAAACGTTTTATACAAATAACTCTTAATGTAATGTATAACTTCGATTGGGATTTTTTAGAGATTACATTAAGCCATGACCTTCAGACCATGACCTACCATTGGGCGATGACCTCAAGGCTTGACTCACCACACCCCCGGCTGATATCAAAGCAATTTGGTGGCTGCCTGGAACCCATTTGTCAGGATTGTCTGTTTTCCCAACCCTACCCTTCTCTCCTAAACCAACCACACCCTAACCACCCCTCCTCACTGCCCCCCCCCCCCCCCCCAAACCTACCACAGCAACAGTTTGTGCTACCCGCTACGTAAAAATCTTGCTCACTATGATCAAGGCGTCCGTAGATACATGGATTCAACAATTTGTGTTACCGTGGTATTGTGTGTCCTATTGGCCAAGTGATCTGTTGGCCAAGTGGCCTGTTGGCCAAATGTCCTGTGTCCTGTTTGCCTCACCTTAGTGCCAGAGAGAGGACAGCGGTGGTTGTTGTTAAGGTGGATACTTCTGATTTAGATGGTGGAAATCCAGCCAAATCCACCCAACTTATCTCCTCAGATGAAAAAAAACCCTGGCCATGAAGGAAGCGATTGCTGTGGCTGCGCGTGTAGGGTATTAGTTACCGCCCTTTACGCCGCGTGATACCGGAACTTGCCGATAAACACGGGGCCACGTGATATGACTGCCGTTTAGATAGGTCCGGGATTGTCAAGAACACCCAACGATTGGCGCTAAATCAACTCGGCTATTGCGCAGCTTATGGACGTCTGCGAGAAGTCTGGTCTGGCTCCAAAACTTTATGTGACGTCACATTCATTTGCTAAGATTTTTTTACTTTCTCGTATATACGAAGTATAGAGAAAGTCTTGTAATCGTGCAAAAATCTCGACGTTTTACACCTCACTGATACGGAAAAACATAATTTTGCAATCTTCTCCGTATGTCTGTGTGTCTCTGTGTGTGTGTGTGTGTACCCTTACAGCTAGGTTGATGAAATTTCATATATAAGTATTTTATCAAAATCATAGATACGTATCAACTTTTGAGCGATTTCCGATAACCGGAAGTGGTACTTTTTTCACTTTGAATTTTTCAAAAGCCTATAACTTGAGAACTATTTCAGATAGATAAATGAAATTTCAAATGTAAGTAAAATATCTAATTCTCTACCTTCTGTCAAATTTTGACGCTATTTCCGATTTCTCAAAAAACGCACTATTATGCACATTCATTTGGCGTTCACTTGGTGTGCAATTCTTTTTTCTACGAGATTTTATTCTAGATACGTATCAACTTTTGAGCGATTTCCGATAACCGGAAGTGGTACTTTTTTCACTTTGAATTTTTCAAAAGCCTATAACTTGAGAACTATTTCAGATAGATAAATGAAATTTCACACGTATGTAAACGATCTAATCCTCTACCTTCTGTCAAATTTTGAGTAATTTTCGTTGACTGGAAGAACTAATTTACGCTATTTCCGATTTCTCAAAAAAAAACGCATGTAAATTTATAAAGTACTAATAATATTTCGCACAATTATGCACGTTTTGTTTTGGCGTTCGCTTGGTGCGCAATTATTTTTTCTATGAGATTCTATTCTATTTTAAAAACTTTAAGTATTTAAATGGATTAAAAATCATAACTATATCCCGAGTTCCCATCGCCTGTTGTTTTATATAAGAATATTCGAGAAAGTTTAGGGGAGATCACTCCCGGTTTATTTCTTTTTGTCTCTTTTGGTAATCATTCTAATGTATAAAGCTCAAATGCATTCTGTGGCTCTGTGACAGTAGAGAGCACGAAAACGGACCCTTGACATCAAAGGAATAGGGTTAAAAAACTCGGCTTGATCGCCATAGTGTAATACACATAAAGTGTTTATTCTCGAAATTAATAACTTAAAAAATAATGTGAATGGTTTTGTAAAACAAGTTTAATTTTCCAAACTAAAGATTTTAAGTAACGTCACATGGAAAAACTAACGTTAAAGAAAATATATATCATCCTTCACAAAAATTAAGGTCTACTAAAATACTACACTTTTTTCCACGTATTGCTAATTACTTCCTTTGATAGATCACAAAATGGTTTTTTACTTCCCTTTAAAAAAACATTACGTCGGGTAAAAAATACTTTTTATTATTTTGTTTTGGGGTGAAAAAAAAATTATATAATTTGCGTGGATTGATAATGTGTAATTTAGTAGGTAAAACACGTAAATTTTAAATACTGCCTTTTATTTATTTTATACACTGAACGATCTGTTTACTAATTATTATTTTTAAGCAATAACAATTTAGAAGCCGCTCCTAAACTTCCTCTATAATTACTTCTATCTTTCCGTTTGCGGACAAGCTTTGGGTGTTATAGTCGTTCACAAAATTGAAACAGGCGTGTCCGCCGGCGCCCCAGCAGGGTTCGATTTGGCACCCTGGGGTATCATGTGATGTTTTGGTGTAAACGTTTGTTTAAACGAATGCGATAGGCTGTGAATAAAAAGTGTTCCTATAGTCGTACACTAAATCGGATCCAGGGCGTCCTCTTGCGCTACGACAGGGTGCGATTTGGCACCCCAGGCCTTACCGTGAGCGCTATGGCGCCTAAGTTAGTTCGATGGACTATCGATAAGAAAGGTTACTATAATCCTTAACTAAATCGAAACCGGGCACCCTCTGGTGCCCCGACAGGGTGTTATTTGGCGCCCCGGGCATTCCCTTGAGTGCTATAGCGCCGACGTTCGGTTGCGTTTATGTTTCCTTATGCTTTTTTATTTGCTTTTGGTGTTTGCGTTACGTTTTTGTTTGTGTTACCGTTTTTTTGTCTGTGTTTGGCTCTACATATTTGCATTTGTTTTTGTGTTTATGTTTTGTTTTTGGTTGGTTGCAGTTAGGGTTAATTAGAAAAATAATATATTTCCTAAACCCGGGCAAGCTCGGGTAAATGCTGATTACTAAACACACAAGTCATTGTCCTTTACGGATAGGTTTTTCACATAGGCCAGTGCAGGGCCTGGCCGGGGCGGCTAGTTATATATGAAGCTCAGTAATTACACGGTGAGTTAAATAGTGACTAGGTCAATTTATTGATCCAGTCTTTGGTGGATCGGTTGTTGGTGGTTGTGTTGGTCTATTCTTTGTTGCACCTCATTGTCTATTGCTGCTTTGTGTTTGCATGTTTTGTGTTTGCCGGTTTTGTGTTTGCCGGTTTTGTGTTTGCCGGTTTTGTGTTTGCCGGTTTTGTGTTTGCATGTTTTGTGTTTGCCGGTTTTGTGTTTGCCGGTTTTGTGTTTGCTGGTTTTGTGTTTGCCGGTTTTGTGTTTGCCGGTTTTGTGTTTGCCGGTTTTGTGTTTGCCGGTTTTGTGTTTGCCGGTTTTGTGTTTGCCGGTTTTGTGTTTGCCGGTTTTGTGTTTGCCGGTTTTGTGTTTGCCGGTTTTGTGTTTGCCGGTTTTGTGTTTGCCGGTTTTGTGTTTGCATGTTTTGTGTTTGCACGTTTAGTCGACGGTCTCTAGAGCAGATACATCGAGTTCAAATATTTCTGTGACCTCGTGACCTCGTGACCTCGTGCCTTGGCATTTGAAGAGATCGTCTTGTCATTGCTGTGTCCAGCCGCTTTTATTTTCTCTAACGTGAGTCGGGTATCCATCAGCCCCCGGGGTAAGAGATTTAGGTAGCAGTCGTGCGCTCTGCTCCGCGACCACGCCGTCCTATGGGTTGTTAAAGTGCTGGGTGGTTATAGTGCTGGGTTGTTAAAGTGCTGGGTTGTTAAAGTGCTGTGTTGTTAAAGTACTGGGTTGTTAAAGTGCTGGGTTGTTTCCCTCCACCAGCTTAGTGCCAGCTTCCGAATTTTCATCCAGAACAATTTGTGTAATTATAAAATTAGAATCTCTACTTTTCCAATGAGTTCAACTTTTATTTCCTACAGCAGCCTTGTATTAGAACTCAAAAATGCAGTTTGAAATGTTGTGATGAATTTTAATCTATGGGAAATAAGAAGCGTTTATTCATTCCAAAAGTATTAAGTACACGCAGTTATGGCCCTTGAGCTGAAGGTACTTAATGCAGACCCCAGAACCTCTGGGTCACTGGGTCACAGAACCACTGGGTCACAGAACCACTGGGTCACTGGGTCACAGAACCAATGGGTCACTGGGTCACAGAACCACTGGGTCACAGAACCACTGGGTCACAGAACCACTAGGTCACAGAACCACTGGGTCACTGGGTCACAGAACCACTGGGTCACTGGGTCACCGAACCACTGGGTCACTGGGTCACAGAACCACTGGTCACTGGGTCACAGAATCACTGGGTCACTGGGTCACAGGACCACTGGGTCACAGAAACACTGGGTCACAGAACCACTGGGTCACTGGGTCACAGAACCACTAGGTCACAGAACCACTAGGTCACAGAACCACTGGGTCACAGAACCACTAGGTCACAGAACCACTGGGTCACAGAACCACTGGGTCACTGGGTCACAGAACCACTGGGTCACAGAACCACTGGGTCACAGAACCACTGGGTCACAGAACCACTGGGTCACAGAACCACTGGGTCACAGAACCACTAGGTCACAGAACCACTGGGTCACAGAACCACTGGGTCACTGGGTCACAGAACCACTGGGTCACAGAACCACTGGGTCACTGGGTCACAGAACCACTGGGTCACTGGGTCACAGAACCACTGGGTCAAAGAACCACTGGGTCACAGAACCACTGGGTCACAGAACCACTGGGTCACATAACCACTGGGTCACAGAACCACTAGGTCACAGAACCACTGGGTCACAGAACCACTAGGTCACAGAACCACTGGGTCACTGGGTCACAGAACCACTGGGTCACAGAACCACTGGGTCACAGAACCACTGGGTCACAGAACCACTGGGTCACAGAACCACTAGGTCACAGAACCACTGGGTCACAGAACCACTAGGTCACAGAACCACTGGGTCACAGAACCACTGGGTCACAGAACCACTGGGTTACTGGGTCACAGAATAACTGGGTCACAGAACCACTGGGTCACTGGGTCACAGAACCACTGGGTCACAGAACCACTGGGTCACAGAACCACTGGGTCACAGAACCACTGGGTCACAGAACCACCACAGTCCTCAGAGAGCTACAGGCCAGATAAATAATTGCAACCAAAATTTAATATTTGTCGTGAACTTTTGAAATCCGCCCTACCTTACCCCACCCACATTACCCCCAGCTGAAGAGCACCACTTACCTTCTCTTTGTTGAAGCGAGTTGAACCTGGTGACCAGTTCGTTCAGAGATGGACTTTAAAATGTGGGTTCACTTAGTGCACGACAGCGCATGCGCTAATTAAAATTCTGTCATTCAAGTTTAATGAGCAGTTAGACAAAGAAAATACACATCTCTTGTCTGTTTATAGCCTCATCGAGTTAGTTCAGAATTGTAATTAGCTGCCTAATATTTTCTTTGATCCGTTCTCAAGGTACTGAGGTCAAGGTCAGCTAGATGAGATTCCGGCCTCAGCATGTTCATATTTTTATAGTTGAGTGCATGCACTTTATTTAAGTACTCAAACCTTGTCGATATATGTATATATATTGCAGTTTTATATATACACACACACACACACACACACACACACACACACACACACACATATATATATATATATATATATATATATATATATATATATATATATATATATATATATATATATATATATATATATATATATATATATATATATACGTATGAATATTTTAAAATCATCTCTCTCCTTAAGTTTCTTGGTTTAGAAAATTGTATTTTAAAAAATGTTTCAATAGCCAGGTAGCATAGAGACTGCAGATAAAACAAATACAAAACAAAGCACTTTGTTTTTTCTGAGATAACAACACATAATGTTGGAAGGTGTTTTTTTCTCGCATCGTGTGGTATCTTCTTTGTTAACATCTGTTTTGTTAACATCGTCTTTGATTCTGTATTCTTTCTTCTCCAACCCCGGATGTATACACACATCAGTATAGGTCCAAGACAGGTCCAAGACAGGTCCAAGACACGTCCAAGACAGGTCCAAGACAGGTCCAAGACAGGTCCAAGACAGGTCCAAGACAGGTCCAAGACAGGTCCAAGACAGGTCCAAGACAGGTCCAAGACAGGTCCAAGACAGGTCCAAGACAGGTCCATGACAGGTCCAAGACAGGTCCAAGACAGGTCCTAGACAGGTCCTAGACAGGTCCTAGACAGGTCCTAGACAGGTCCAAGACAGGTCCTAGACAGGTCCTAGACAGGACCTAGACAGGTCCAAGACAGTTCCAAGACAGGTCCAAGACAGGTCCTAGACAGGAAGGAAACAGACAACCAAGTCGGTCAAAGACAGTGCTGTATGTGCTGTATGTGCTGTACTCACCATAAGATTTACTAAAGTGTCATTTTACCAGACAAATAAGATTTAGGATTTAGTTTCTGTTTCTGCAGGCAAACTGCCTCTTAAAATAAAGTTGAGTCTCTTCCTAAAGTTGAAGTTGTAGCGGTAGTAGATGAAGATGCTGAGGCTGGCGTTTGTGTAGCCACACAGCTGACTGAACTCGACCACAGCACCGAGGAGGTAGTTGGTGTCGTAGGTGGACGGCAGGACGGTCCTGACCAGAGAGTACAGCACGAAGGGGAGGTTGTTGGTGTCGTAGGTGGAGGGCAGGACGGTCCTGACCAGAGAGTACAGCACGAAGGGGAGGTTGAGGAGGACAAACATGAGAGAGACGAGCGCCACTGTCTGCACCACGCGTAGCTCTTTCCCCGTCAGCGAGCTCATACTGGCGTGCTGGGCTGTCGTGCCGGACTGCCTTGCCGGACTGGCATGCTGGGCTGTTTTGCCGGACTGCCTTGCCGGACTGGCATGCTGGGCTGTCGTGCCGGACTGCCTTGCCGGACTGGCATGCTGGGCTGTTGTGCCGGACTGCCTTGCCGGACTGGCATGCTGGGCTGTTTTGCCGGACTGCCTTGCCGGACTGGCATGCTGGGCTGACGTGCCGGACTGACGTGCCGGACTGGCGTGCTGGGCTGTTGTGCCGGACTGACGTGCCGGACTGGCGTGCTTGGCTGACGTGCTGTGTCGGAACCTAAGGGCTGCCTGCAGCTTTAATGCCAGCACGGTCAGACAGATGAGAACGACGATGAAACACGTGATGAAAACGACGTTACGGTTTAGGATGTCGTTGACGACCCGGATGGTCGGCCAGTCGCTGCTGACCAGGCGTGCCCAGGATGACGTGTTGGTCGAGGGGTCGAACCTCTGCAGCAACGTCTGGGCCGTGAGGGTCGGGGTCCGCAGACCCACGGCTAGCAGGAGCGTGGCCAGCACGATGACGTAGGTCCTGGTCAGGGAGAACATGGACCGGAAGTGGATGGGGAAGACGACACAGCAGCAGCGCATGACGGCCAGATAGACCGTGAGCAGCATGGAGTGGTCGTAGAATATCAGGGAGTACCAGTACAGGAAGTCTTGGACGTCGGCCGGCCGGATCAGCCAGCCGGACGTTCTGAGGATGACGTTGACGGAACACAGCCGGCAGATGACGGAGATGGAGGCGAAGCTCAAGTCAGAGACAGACAGGGCGAGGAAGGAAAAGGTCATAGCGTCCCTGACCTTCATTGTTCTGAAAACGAGAATGTTGACGGAGTTTGAGCAGAGCCCGAAGGTGAGAACCAAGACACAGGTGAGGGAGTTGGTCAAGCCATAGGTGTACATCGCCTCGTCTAGCACTAGCCCTGCCAGTCTAGGCGGCTGGTTCACTGGCTGTGTGGCTAGCTGTGTGGCTAGCTGTGTGGCTGTGGCTAGCTGTGTGGCTGTGGCTAGCTGTGTGGCTGTGGCTAGCTGTGTGGCTGTGGCTAGCTGTGTGGCAGGGGCTAGCTGTGTGACGTCGCTAGGCTCACTGCCAACAACGCTAAGGTTGCTCATGGCAACAAGAAAGATAACTCCCGCGAGAAGCGACACAGTTTATTTAGGTATTCTGTTTTTGTTACTGTATAAACTGGGTTTAGCGACTCCTTTTAAGAATTTCTTTTCCTCTGTCTATTTGTTCAGAAATACTGAAATGATTTTTTCCTTGGAATGCTTCAAGCAAAACATGCTAATGAACAAAATGAATAAAATTTCATCGATGTATCTGTTTAGGTCTCTGTTTGACCAAGTAAAAACATCTTAGCAAATAATTGTGTTTCTGTCGTGATAATTTGTTAGCTGTGATAATTAGTCGTGATGGTTTGAATCATCTGTTTGATTCAGAAAGATGACGCCGTCTGCTGACATTTTTATCTAGCACGTGTTAGTTGCCTAATTGGATGAACGGCACGCGATGACAGACGCGATACATTCACGGATTGTTGTAATCAATTAAAGTTCAATTAAAGTTCAATCAAACTTGGCGCCGACTTGAGACAACATCCGATCGATTTATCGATCATCCCTCCCTCCCTGCCCACGTACTTGATCTTGTCGTCAAATAAATTAATTGTAATTAGTGTTTGAAGGAACTTTAATTTTAATTAGGATTTATTTGAAGTTGTGGTAGACATTCGCGAAGATGATCTCTGGTGAGCGGGTGAGTTGTCTGATATATTTTGGTTGTCTGATATATTTTGGTTGTCTGATATATTTTGGTTGTCTGATATATTTTGGTTGTCTGATATATTTTGGTTGTCTGATATATTTTGGTTATTTAGCCCTTTTTATATTTCATTGTAGTCTGATAAATCTTGATTTTCTGATATAACTTGTTTGTCTGATGTCTAGAAATGTGGAGCTAGCCGTTAGCCTCTGAAAGCTACTTTACTTGTAAAGTAACAGTGATCGTTGTAAATTTTTCTTTAATATTAATCTGCTTGTTGTAAAGTTACTTTAGGAACCGGCAATTCAAGGGGTGGTTGAAGTAGAGTTCACCTATTTCTGTGTCCTCTGTAGATTAAATGATTGAGTGGTCTGTTTCTTGGTTAACCGCATTTTATTTCCCTAACGTGAGCCAGGTACCCATATGAGCTGAGTGGACTCAGGGACGTGGTGTTTCTTTCAGGAATCACGAGAGAATACCAGCTCCCCCCTCCCCCCCCCCCACCTTGACTCTGACTCTCTCTCTCTCTCACACACACAGACACACACGCACACACACGCACACACACACTGAGCCAAATGTTTAAAAGAAAAAGTCACACATAGAAGTCGTGAGGATTTCTGCCCGGGTTTTGAACCTGAGACTTTAGCGTGGCCGTTAAACGACCACAAGACCGTCGAATTTATTTTGTTGCTGTAATTAATGTATTGTATAAACACAATGTGTTTTGTAGAGCTAAACAATCAAATCTGACTCAACTCATGATTCGATCCGTGTTTACCCCAGTGTTTACCCCAGTGTTATCCCAGTGTTATCCCAGTGTTTTCCCAGTGTTATCCCAGTGTTATCCCAGTGTTATCCCAGTGTTATCCCAGTGTTTACCCCAGTGTTATCCCAGTGTTATCCCAGTGTTATCCCAGTGTTTACCCCAGTGTTATCCCAGTGTTATCCCAGTGTTATCCCAGTGTTACCCCAGTGTTACCCCAGTGTTATCCCAGTGTTATCCCAGTGTTATCCCAGTGTTACCCCAGTGTTATCACAGTGTTATCCCAGTGTTATCCCAGTGTTATCACAGTGTTATCCCAGTGTTACCCCAGTATTATCACAGTGTTATCCCAGTGTTACCCCAGTGTTATCACAGTGTTATCCCAGTGTTATCCCAGTGTTATCACAGTGTTACCCCAGTGTTACCCCAGTGTTACCCCAGTGTTATCCCAGTGTTACCCCAGTGTTATCCCAGTGTTACCCCAGTGTTATCCCAGTGTTATCACAGTGTTATCCCAGTGTTACCCCAGTGTTACCCCAGTGTTATCCCAGTGTTACCCCAGTGTTACCCCAGTGTTATCACAGTGTTATCACAGTGTTACCCCAGTGTTACCCCAGTGTTATCACAGTGTTATCCCAGTGTTATCACAGTGTTACCCCCAGTGTTACCCCAGTGTTATCCCAGTGTTATCCCAGTGTTACCCCAGTGTTATCACAGTGTTATCCCAGTGTTACCCCAGTGTTATCCCAGTGTTATCCCAGTGTTATCCCAATGTTATCCCAGTGTTATCCCAGTTTTACCCCAGTGTTATCCCAGTGTTATCCCAGTGTTATCCCAGTGTTATCCCAGTGTTATCACAGTTATCCAACATGTCCTAGACTACGACCTCCCCCCCCCCCCGCCCCCAATTAAAAACATAAAATATCAAGTAAGTACAAATTATTCATTTATTTATATTTATTTTTTATTTCCTGTTCAGTTATTACTTCCTCATACACAAACTATAGAAAATGTTTTAAAAACCTACACAATAAACCCGGAGTGATCTCCCCTAAACTTTCTCGAATATTCTTATATAACACTATGGGGGATGGCAACTCGGGATATAGACATGATTTTTAATTACTTAAACTTTTTAAAATAGAATATAATCTCGTAGAAAAAAAAAGAATTACGCACCAAGTGAACACCAAACATTCTGTGTATAATAGTGCAGGATATTATTAGTACTTTAGAAATTCATATGCGTTTTTATGAGATATCGGAAACAACGAAAATTATTACTTCCAGTCAAACGGAAATTACTCAAAATTTGAAAGAAGGCAGAGAATTAGATAATTTAATTACATGTGACAAATTTTATTTATCTATCTGAAATATTACTCAAGTTATAGGCTTTTGAAAAACGATATAATACTTATATATGACATTTCATCCACCTAGCTGTAACGTTACTCAAGTTATTGTATTTACAGACACACACACACACACACACACACAGACACACACACACAGAGAGAGACACACACACACACACATGCGGACAAGATTTCAAAACTATGTTTTCCATCTCAGGGAGCTATAAAACGTCGAGATTTGCAAACAGCTCGATTTTTTAAAAATATAATTTAAAAAAAAACAAGTGTAAATCTTGATTGTCAAAAGGATTTGCTATCCCCAACAATGAATAAAAGTTTAAGGTAGATCGATCCCGCTTCATTTAGCGAGATAACTTTTAAAATAAACTATTGAGATAATGTTGGTAAAATTACCCCAAACAAATCTTGGTCAAAGGGAAGTAACAAAAATAAAACAAGATTCTTACATTTTTCTAAACGTTGTCTCACTTTGCTATATATTAATTTCATATTTTATTACCTCTCCACTTAAATTACAATGAGCAAATTGTTAAAATACTTATGAAATGAAACACGCACATTTTTAAACTATGTGTAGTGTGACTGTCGTGTGATCTTAGGCAGTTGACTTTGGTTCGAATCCCACAAATTTATCCATTACACCTCGTCCCGCACACTATGGTGAGGTGGGACAAGTGACGTCATCCTTCGTGTAGGGCTAGCTGTGATGTGGCTATTACACATCACTAGTGGTCAAATATAATTGTATAGGGTGAAAGATTGAAAGCACACACAGGGGTAAAAAAATATTTAAAATTTATTCAACAATTTAATTACATAAAATAATATTCCAATAACAATTGGTTGGATAAATAAAATTAGAAAATGGTTTTATGGTAATTGATTCAACAGATACAAATTAGATAATGGTTTCATGGTAATTAAATCAACAGATACAAATTAGATAATGGTTTCATGGTAATTAATTCAACTGATACAGTTTAGATAATGATTTAATGGTAATTAATTCAACAGATACAAATTAGATAATGGTTTCATGGTAATTAATTCAACAGATATAAATTAGATAATGGTTTCATGGTAATTGAGTGATGAGTCCCCGAAGAGAGCTGTTGTCTCCAGTACTTGAAAGGTCACGCATGGCTTGTGATGTCCGTCCTTAAGGTCAAGGTCATCCACCGAGCACAGGTCACGCTTGAGTGGGTTGGGCAGACTCAGCTGCTGGACTTTGGTCCGTCTCTCTGGCATCGGTCCCAGAGCCTTGACCAGCGCCTGTCTAGCCAGAACCAGCAGGGTCCGGGGATGGGACAGCATCTCCTGCAGGTGAAGTAGATTGTGTGGGATGACGTCTTCAGTCGTGGGGCTGGGGACGTACGGTCGAATGATCTGGTCGTTCAGCAGACGGTACTTGAGCTGGTTGAAATCCTTGAGCTCCTCCATCCTCCCCCGCCCCGCGTCCACAATCACGTCCAACACACCTGGCTGTACAGGTAGGATCAGGCACATGGTGAACACCCTGAAAAACCTGCAGGAGAGTGGCAGGTGTTAGTGGCAGGTGTTAGTGGCAGGTGTTAGTGGCAGGTGTTAGTGGCAGGTGTTAGTGGCAGGTGTTAAAGCTAACAAAGTATAACCAGTATTTGACAATGAGAGCCAGAAAGACCGGAACTAGACCGGCTGATGTAAACACTCACTTCTTGCAGCCCTCCAGAACGCCGTACTCCACCAAGAGCCGGACGGCCTCAGTACTCAGGGAGAGGGCAATAAGGAGGGCAGCCTCACAGTGCTCAGGGCCGGGGCCGGATGGCCGGACGCCGGCATCTAGGTAACGCTTCATCATGCGGACATTCCCGTTGATGGCTGCCATGATAAGGCCGTAGAAGAGAAGGACAGGGTCCTTGGGGTCTTTGATTCCAGAGTTGGTATCACGTGACATGATGGCCAGCTGATCCATGACGTCCAGTCGTCCGTGTGAGGAGATGCTGGGGACATCATGTGATGGATGGATGGATGGATGGATGGATGGATGGATGGATGGATGGATGGATGGATGGATGGATGGATGGATGGATGGATGGATGGATGGATGGATGGATGGATGGATGGATGGATGGATGGATGGATGGATGGATGGATGGATGGATGGATGGATGGATGGATGGATGGATGGATGGATGGATGGATGGATGGATGGATGGATGGATGGATG